CTGTAAAATGAAGGGATTGGATGGCTTCTAAGGTCCTTTCCAGTCCTAATTCTATGGTCCTATAATCTGAGGGCTACAAGCTAAATGTGAGTGAGATATAGCAGTCAAAAAAGCTAACGTGAGTTCAGGCTTCATTTAAAGAGAGATAGGATCCAGAAGATGAGGAGAGGAGAGTCATGTTGTCCTTGACCACATCTAGAATACTGAGATCAGTTTAAGATGGTTCAGGTTAAAATGGACATTGGCAAACAGGAACATGTCCAGAGTAAAATAACCAGGATGGGGAAGAAACTGGAGACCAGTCCATTAGAGCATCTGTTGGAAAAACCAGGGATCTTTTAGCTTAAGAGAAGACTTAGGGGGTTCATGTCAACTGTCATTAAGTATTTGGAGAGCTGTCCTGTAGAAGACAGATTAAATTTGTTCTGCTTGGTCCCAAAGGGTGGAACTAGCAATAGTACTTACTAATTCTTAGAAATGTTCAGAAGTGAAATGGGCGTAGACTAAGAGGTTGAATGACTCTTTATTGGGGGTAGTATAGAAGGGATTCCTATTCAGGTACGGGTGGGACTAGATGGTCTGAGATCTCTGGGCTCCTGAGATTCTATAAAAAGGGCCTGGATTTAAAAGACCTGGGTCTAGAAGCCATCTCTGCCACTTATTAGCTAGATGACTTTGGGCAACACAGCATTTTCTCTGGCTGTTCCTTGTGCTCGGAACAGCCTTTCCTCCTCATTTCTGCCTTTGACCTTCCCCGGCTTCCTTCAAATCTCAGCCAGTCTGCAAAAAGCCTTTCCCAGTCTTCCTTAATCTTAGTACCTTTCCTCTGATATTTTCTCCAACTTATCCTGCATATATTATTTATATACAGTTGTTTTCATGTTGTCTCCTCCATTAGACTGTGATTTTTTTTTGCCTTTATATCCCCACAGTTCAGCACAGTAGCTAGCATACAGTAGTCACTTAATAAGTGCTAGTTGACTGGCGTAATGGCTCTGTGCTTTGGTTTTCTCATCTATCAACTGAGAATGATAATATTGTACTCTATCTGTTATAGGAGGGTTGCAGAGATCAGATGAAATGATGTGTGTTAAACACTTGGTAAACTGTTTTATTCAACTGCTATATCAGACCGTTATACAAATGCCATTATGAATATTTCAAGTTCTGAAAAGACTGGTGATAGCATCTCATCTCATCTTGATTCACTTCAAGTCATTTTTCTATGCTTATAAACATGCAAACATAATCACCCAGAAGATCTCCATTCAAGTTTGAATCTTAGCTCGGCTCTCCACTCTCTGTATGACCCTGGAAATATTACTTTACCCTTCTGGTCCTTAGTTTTCATATCTGTAAAAGGAGGGGATTGGAGTGGATGATCTTTCAGGCACTTTCCACCTTTAAAATCCCCTTTGAGCACCCCCAAGAAGGACCAGCGAGCTGGGTCCAATAGAATTCCCAGTCCCGTGGAGGCAGACAGTGATACCAACATCAAGCCTGCAGCTGGAACCTTCCTACATGGAGTTAAGCTCATTTTGGAGAATAGGGAAACAAAAGCTCTTCTTAATTTAAGACTGAGTTGGCAAAAAGATTGTACTTAGAGACTAAAACTTGACAAGAAGCCCACTGTCCTCCAAACACTGAGTTACTGACACTCGAGGGGCAATCGCTGCAGCTGCTACCAGGAAAATCCACTTGGGCACCATCTCCCCTCCCAATATCTGTCTCTTCACAATATCAAACTTTCTGAGCTGGTTCTCAGTGTGCATTTACAGATAAGTTCTATCCAGTTACTGCAGAATTAAGGCAAAGCATTGCCTGAAAACCTGCTTTTGATGTTACCTGTTTGAATCTGGGCAAGTGGTCCCATTTCCTCATTTGCAAAAATGGGGGCTGATAATACTTGTCCCATCCTACTTCTCAGGGGAACTATGGAGAACGCCTAGAATCTTAGATCTAGACCTTAGAGAGCATCAAATCTACTCTCCTCATTGAGTATTTGAAGAAACTGAAGCCCAGGGAGGTTGTGACTGCTTCTGGGCATGCAGGAAATAAGTGGCAGAACCAGGATTTGAACCAAGGTCCCTTGACTGCAAATCTGAGATTTTTCCACTGTATTAGGCTGCATTTCACTTTTTAAACCTTAAAACACTCCATACGTCTGAGCCATTTCTATCAATAATAATAAAATCAGAGAATCATAGAATCGCAGCATTTCAGAGCTGAAAAGCAGCTTGAAGTTCATCAGATCCAAATTTCTTATTCTATAGTTACAGAAACTGCCTCCCAGAGAGGAGAGAGGCTTGTCCAAGGTCACATGGTTAAGTAGGATCAGAACAAAAACCAGATATGGTGTTTTTAACATAATATTTGTAACATAGCTATTTAATAGTAATAGTAATAATAATAGCAACAGTACAACAGGTAGAGTGAATTACGTTAATCAATGAGCACTTAAGCGATAATTGTGTGCCAGGCACTGTACTAGGCATAAGAGTTACAAAGAAAAAAGCAAAATGGTTCTTGCCTTCAAGGAACTTATAGTCTAGTTAGTCTAGTGAGGGATCACAAGATCATAGATTTAGAGCTAAACCCTTTAGAGGCCTTAGAGTTACCCTACTCCCCCATTTTATAGATGAGGAAACTGAGACATTGAGAGAGAGGTTAACTGACTTGCCATGGGTCATATAGTTAGTACCTGAGGTAGGATTTGAAAATAGGTCTTCCTGATTCTGGTATTTCCTGAATCCATATCTAACTCCCTATATTATACCGCACTGCCACTGTATATTGCTGTATACAAGATAGATATAAAAGGATTTGGGGAGGATGAGGGAAGGCTTCATGTAGAAGGTGACACTTGAGTTATCCCTTGAAGGAAACAAGGAATTCTGAGAGTAGAGGTGAAGAAAGAGAGCCTTCCAATCTGATACACAGGTATGGATGGGGATGGGACTTGGATTGCTTCGTGTGAGAACCATCTCTCTGCTCCAGGCATTTTCTCTGGCTCTGGCTGTGGTTCACGATGCTCTCTTTCCTCATCCACACCTCCTGGCTTCCTCTAAGCGCGATCTGAGTAAGACCTCACCTTCTGTAGGAAGCCTTTCCCAATTCCTCTAAATTCTGGCGCCTTCCCTCTCTTATTTGTTTTCTGTTTCTCCTACATAAAGCTTGTTTGAACATATTTTTTTTTCTTGTTGCATCCCCTGTTAGATTGTGAACTCCTTGAGGGCAACCACAAAAATTGATTCAACTGAATGACTAATATAGCTAGCAAAGTAGGTTGGGGCTGGGTTGTGAAGGCCAAATAGAGGAGTTTATATTTGATCCCTTAGGTAAATGACACACTTCTCACATGAATATTCATGTGCGTACGAAGGATTAAATTCTATGGTACTTAGAGAAAGGGGAATGAATGATATGGCCTTTTGGCATTCGGGCCCAGACCTAGAAGTCAATAATTGGGATCGAAAACCTAAACAGCAAGAAATCAGAAGCACCCAACAGGAGATCAAAGAAGTGGTGTGGTTTTCCAGCCACACATTGGCTTTTGTTTCCAGGTTTTGCCTAGGACTTTCAGCTTTAGCATCTCAGGCCGAAGGACACCTGGCTATTGTTAGTATAACTCCTATTTCGATGGCATGTTAAGGTCTATGAGGCTTTTTTTAATTTAAGTAATGTGAAGGACTTTCTCCCTGTTTTACAGATGGAGATAACTGAGTTCTGGAGAGAGGAAGTGACTTGTCTGTGGATACAAAAGGAGCTAGTAAAAGAACAAGGGACAGAACCCAGGCTCCCTGACTGTTCTACCTTTTCCCTCTATGCCATGAATACTGTACTAAAGGGGACTAAGCATTAGTTTTCAAAGACTTCTGACTTTGATCAGGGGCCCCACTCAGTATTCTGGTATAGGTCTTTTCCTCTGTCTTCAAGGATAAGCTCAGATACCACTTCCTCAGGGAACTCCTAACTTGTTAGGTGAAAGTGGCCACTTTCTCCCCAAACTTCCCATAGTGCTTTTCTTAGACCTCTTTCTTGCATCATAAAGATTTGTGTATGTATTCTTCCCCATATTAGATTGTAAGTCCCTTGAAATCTGGGTTTATCATGGAGTCACAGGACCTTGACTCAAATCCTATGCCAACCTTCTGACTGCCTGATCTTGGGCATAATAATAATGATGATGATGATGATGATGATGACAATAATAAATAACAACTAGCATTCACATAGTGCTTACTATGTGGCATGTCTTTTAATTTCTCTGGTCCATAATTTTTCATCTACAAAATGAAGGAGTGGGACCGGATGACCTCTAAGGTCCCTTCTAGTTCTTAATCTGTGATCCTATGATCTTTGTGTACAGTACTTTATACAGAGTGGACTCATAAAATGTTTGTTGGATTGAATTTAATTTTCTGACTTCTACTTGCACCATGGAAAGAAGGATTAATGGTACAACTAAAGGCTTTGGAAGAGAAAAAGATAAATTTAAAAGACAGGGGCCCAAAACAAATTTCTTTAGGAGAGGTAGCTTGCATGTTATCACACTCAAAAATATCAGTAAATGAATGGAAGAAATGTAGACAAGTAGTATTGCCAACCAGGGCTATATAGGTTTTTGGAGCAGAAAGAGTCTACATGGGAACTTTGCTGGGTGTAATTCCTGTTAAATCTAATAAATTCTAGCTCAGAGACTAGGGTCTGGGAAGCCTGACTTGCAAGAGAGAGAGTGTGTTGTAGGATGAACTGTGGACCAAAGTCAGGAGAACGGGGTTTATATTCTGGCTCCATTGAGTACTAGCTGTGTTGCCATGGCCAAGTCACTACAATTCCCTGAGTCTCAGGGAATTTCACAAACCTTAAAATGCTAGAGATTCATGAGCCTCTGAATTATTGTTATTATACTGTACTTCTCTGGAGAAGTAGCCCACATGGTAGAAATGTTACATTCTCCCCTCCCCCCAATTCTTAATAGCAGAGGTTGAAAGACACACCTGGGGAAGTCTTCATCCTGCCATTCCTCCTTCACGTCCACATTTCCCATTCGTAGGGTGGCTTCCGTGGTCCCCATGGTAGTGGAACAGGGATAGAGAAAGCTTGAAACAGGGAGGGGTCTGAAATGGAGGATGGAAATAGGGAGAGAGGAATTATTGTGAACTTCACTTGGCATCATATCGTCAGTGTCATGACATCAGAGAATGCTAGAGCTGGAAGGATCCTTGGAGATCATGTGAGTGAATCCCTTTACTCTCTGGAGAATGAAACAGATCCAGAGAGGTTAAGTGTCATGCCTGAGATAACACAACTAATAAGTAATATTTGCCTCTCCACTCTCTCCCAGCTCTCATTTTCAGTAGGTCCTGTCATAATATTTTTTACATCCACATCCTCTTCTCTCGTCCCGCTGCCATTAATCAATACCAGCCTTTGCTACTGCCTGATGCATCTATTGCAGTAGCTTACCCAAACATCAATGCCCAGTTCAAAATGCTTCCTCCTTTAGGAAGCTTTATCTGATTCCTCACAGTTGGTAATTACTTGCCCCCTCAGACTCCACATAACACTTTGTGCCTTTTTAATGTGTGTATCATGTCATATTGTGCATTGTAGTTATTTTTATTGGTGTCTTTCTGTGAGTACCACGAAGGTAGGGAAAGAGTCTTATCTACGCTTCGAATTTCCCTCACCATCTAGCACAGTAGCACACACTTACCTCTGCCCACAAGTAGGTGCTTAATACATGTTTGTTGAATGAGTGAGTAAAAGTTGGGATTTAGAGTTGAAAGGGATTTCAGTTAGATTCAACAAATATTTATTGTCTCCTATGTTTAAGGCACCTCATCAAGCCCACTTATGTTATAGATGAGGAAACTGAGACTTAGAGAGAGGAAGAGACTTTGTCCAGATCTTTAGATTCCCAAACTGGTGCTCTTTCCACTACTCTGTTTCCACAGGGTCATTTTGTAGAAATCACTTAGAGTGAACTAGACCTTGACAATCTGTGGCTGCCTTTTGAATGATTCTCAGTAGTAGTGTTTGTTGAAGACCTGTGGACAAAGTGGGAAGTGGACAAGTTTGTCTTAAGCTCTCCATCTCACACTCTTTTTTTTTGTCTCATGGCACCTTCCCCCATAACAACACTTCCCCAGCACCTAGTTGTTGTTGTTTATCCTTTGTTCTCAGAGGATTATGATTGGCTCAGAGTGAATGTAAACAGCAACAGCACCTTACTGTTACTGAAAGTAGTGCTTCAGGAGCTCACCCAGCCCCACTCCTTCTCACGCTTCCAGGAAGGCAGCTAGAAGTCCTCAAAAGAGCCCTTAAGTTTTAGCCAAAGAACTTGGACTCAACTCTCACCCATTATTTTGTTCTTCAGTGATTTTTCAGTCATATCCTACTCTTCATTGAGTCCATTTGGAGTTTTCTTGGCAAAGATACTGGAGTGGTTTGCCATTTTCTTCTCCAGCTTATTTTACAGATGAGGAAACTGAGGCAAACAAGGCTAAAAGAACTTGCTCAGAGTCACACAGGTAGTAAGAATCCGAGGCCACTTTTGAACTCAGGAAGATGAGTCTTCCTGACTCCAGGCCTGGTTCTCTATCTGCTGTGTGGCTGATTATATTGTGCCCACTCTGTGGTAGTGCCTTCTGAACTCATGCTGGACTGATCAGCCACAGCCAAACACACTATACTCTGACTCCAACACTGTGAATCGTCTTCTTCAAAAATGAAGGATGAACAACAACAATATTGGTGATCTTGGGTAAGTCCTGATCTGGTTCTCAGTTTCTTTTTCTATAAAGTGAGTGGATTGGTCTCTAGGAAGGTTATCCCTTTTTTTTAATGACCCTGTGATAATATTTCTGTGAGAACCTCCAGGGAAAAGCCAATCAGCTTCAAATAGACTCTGGTTTGAAAAGAGACCCAGACCAATAGCTTGACTTTCTCTTTTGAGAATCTGATCATCATTTGTGGAGGAAGTGTAGGAAGACAGTATAGTCAGCATATGTCACTTGCAATCTTACCTCTGCTGGGACGTGTAGGGGAGAGCAGGGGCGAGAAAGCAGCAAAATAAAAATCAGTTATATTCTCCTTCTCCTCCTGCAGTTGTTTTTAGGGGAAGGTTTAAATAAATGAAAAATTCATTTCAAGTCATGGGGCAGAAGCCTCCATTTCAGTTTGCCTGTAGCAGACACTGTGTTTCTGTCTCTGTTTCTATTCAATATAGTGTCACAGGAAGAAAGTGCTAAAGCCTTCCACAAAGAAAGCCTTTCAAGCCCCACATCTGAAGTTGTCTTCACTCCACAGGGACCTGTGTCATCCCAAAGCATACTGTCAATATAAAACAAGCCAGCTACAATATACATCATGCATCTAGGGGGTGCATTCAGACCCAGATTTCAGGAGGACAACGTGGGTGTCATCTAAGAAAGGAACATATGGCATTGAATAATTAATGTATTTTAACCTCCTCCATGGACGGAGGCAGGTGTAAGGGAAGGCACACCAAATTTGGAATTGAAGGACCTGAGTTTGAATCTCAGCACTGTTAGTTATGCCTTGTGTGATTTGGGAGCAGTTTCCAAACCCTCTAGACCTCAGTTTTCTTTGTAAAATGAAGGGGTCTAATTGGATGCTTTCTGAGGTCTCTCTGAACTCCAGTAGTGATAACTCACATTTGCATGGTGCTGGAAAGTTTGCAAAATATTTTACATGTATCTCATTTGAGCTAACATTCTAACATTGCAAAACAATACAGAGTTGTCAATAGAGGACTGGTGTTGGAGTTAGGAAGACCTGGGTTCAAATACCGTCTCAGCCAGTTAACCAGTGTGTGACCCTGAGCAAATCATTCAGTCTGCCTGAGTTTTCTCCTCTTTTGTAAAAATGAGTTAACATATGTATTTTGCCAACCTCAAAGTACTATATAACACTAGATGTTATTACCTACTTCAAGGATGGGGCTCAGATAAAATTTTGCATGTGACATGCTTTGTGAACTTTGAGACACTAGACAAATATCAGCTATTTTTCTAAAGTCCCATTCCAGCTCTGACATACTAGGTTCTCAGGTTTCTTTTAGGCCTGGCATTCTGTGTTTTCCCTTCTAAGATCCCTGCCAGTGCTAGTATTCTATGTTCTAGGGTTCCTTTTGGCTCTGCCACCCCATGATCCATCGGTTAAGGCTAGTCTGGGTCCATTCCCCACTTAAGAACACACCTTAATGCAATGTTGACATATACCTGTTTGTATGCTTTTGTGAATGTCATTTCAGTTGCCCTCTCAATACAACAGCATTAGAGGAAACCACCGTAATCTGTAAGCTTCTTGGGGGAACAATGTTCTTTCTCTTCTTTTTGTTTTCTCTTCCTGGCTTAATGCACCTCCCCCTACCCCACTCCCACCTCCAACCCCCACGAATACACTTTCCAATAAAGGGCTTGCAAACAGTAGATACGTAATGCATACTGACTAATTTAATTTAAAAAGTAAATAATCATCTCTTTGTGTTTCTACCCGGGAATCTAGTTCTTTAAGCTGCCTTCTCTCAACCCACCCCCTCCCGGAAAAAAAAAATTTATCCCCTTAAAATCCGCTTATGATGGCTTTTAAAAAAGACTTCACTTGTTCCAAATAGGAAATGGATGGAGACCGAAGCATCCTGCAGGCCTCCCTTCCTGGGGGAGAATTCAGGTATTAACCGAACCCGTAAATCCATCCTCCAAACGCGGCAGATCCCTCATCTTTCCCGTCGCTGATGATTAGCAGGGAATTGATTTGGGCTAATGGCTGTTTAGGAATGTTTTTCCTTTGGTTCTGATAGCTGGCTGATGCCTGCCCTGCGAGATGCAGAGGATGCGATCCATCTTTGCCAGAGGATGCGATCCATCTTTGCCAGGGCTCCCTGGCCACCCGAGAAGAGGCAGTGGTGGAAAAAATAAAAGGGCGGTAGCCAATAAACATCTCCAGACAGCTCTTTCCTTCCGCAGACCCAAAAGGCTGGAAGGTGTACTCACCGCCAGGCGATCTCTCCTCCTTAGCAGCGAACAAAGGGAAGCCCTCAGATGAACCAGTTGTGCATCCCTCCCTTTCTGCCTCGGGATGGCAGCTCCCTCAGTGAGAATGGGGATGGAGGGGAGACATTCCTTCTTCTGTGGAAGGCTGGCTGGGCTCTGTGTCGCCCAGGAAAGCCTGACAACTGAGGGTCTGCTGGTTTTGTCTGCAAAACTGGAAACCCTCAATCATGTTCTCCTAAAACCGCTGCTCCGGCCGCTGCTGCTTCCTTAGCCATCACCGCCGGGCCCTGCCTTCAAGGTATTTGATTATTCCCAGCTCACAGCTGGCTGAGGCTTAGAGCTCTTAAGACAGTTAATTATGCTGCGTGTGTGTGTGTGTGTGTGTGTGTGTGTGTGTGTGTGATGTCTGATACAACAGTACATCCCCCTTCCAGTGTTCATTCCTTTCTATTGGTTAGAAGAGGAGTAAATATTGCTGAAGCCTCTTCATAGGCAGAGACAGAAGAAATGATTCTTGGATGGTGCACTGAGAGCTAGAACAGTAGTGGCCTTATTCTTAGAGACTATTTGGGCTGGAAATGGCCTTAGGATATATAGAACATTGACTGGCAGAGCAGGGGACCTTAGACAGAGAACACAGAATGTTAGGGTTGGAATGGATTTTGGAACACATTCACAATATCAGAACTGTCAGGGAATTTAGAGCATAGAACATAGAACATTAGAGCTGGAAGGGACCTTAGTAGCTGGGATGTCTGGAGCTGGAAGGGAATTTAGAGCAGAGAAGATAGAATGTCAGAGCTGGAATGGACCTTAGAGCATAGAACACAGAATGTCAGGCCTGAAATGTACCTTAGAATGTAGTACAGAGAATGTCAGATCTGGAGGAAGTCTTGGAGCAGAGAACATAGAATGTCAGTGCTGGAATGGATCTTGGAATATAGAACACACTGACAGAGCAGGAAGGAACCTTAGAACATAGCACGCAGAATGTCAGACCTGGAAGGAACCTTAGAGCAGAGAATATAAAATGTCAGAGTTCAGAAAATACCTAAAGCAACATTTTCAGTTTTCAAAGGAAGGACTTGGGCCCCGAAGAGCAGTAGTGACTCTGTAAAGGTCACTCAAATTCAGTTCACCAAACCTTCATAAAGTATCTACTAGGATCAAAGCATTATGCTAGGCACTAGGGAAACCAACCCAAACCAAAACCTAAACTAAAACCAGACAAAAAATTACCCGTAAGAAGCTCATATTCTACTGGAGGTGGGGTGGAGAGGGATAGTGCATGTTCACAAATAAATATCATACAAGGTAAATTGAGGAAGTTAGCACTACCTGGAGGAAGTGAGAGATGAAATCAAGAAAGGCTTCTCAGAGGAGGTGACATTTGAATTAAAACTTGAAGGAAGTTAAGGATGCCTTGAGGCCGAGAAGATAAGGGGTGTGCAGGAACGAGGGATGGCGTAGACAAATGTGCAGAAGTGGGAGAGAGATTTGGGAGGTGAAGTGTTGAGGTCAACAAATAGTGTTTAAATGAGTTAAGAGAGTTTGTGGCACGACCTAAACTAGAACACAGGGCTCCTCGTTTTGCACTGTACCATGATGCCTCCAGGTGACAGAGAAAATGATCCCACAGGTATGTCCTCTAATAGAGATGACTAGCTTCTCCTCTACCTTAACTAAAGAATTGGTGCTACAAGTTTCTCTGAGAGAAAAGTGTTGAGTAATTCAATAAACATGTGTTAAGTGTTGATTGCGTGCACAGCCTTTTGTTGAGTGTGGAGGTAGGGGGTGGGATAGGGATGATCAGGGAGATATAAAGTTTAGACAAGAACTGATTCCTGCCCCTGTGGAATCCAAAGTCTAAAAAAGAGACTTCACACACATAATTATGAGATGATACATATGCACATCAGAGAGATATAACCAGTCCTGTATCACTTCCAAGTATGAAAAGGTCATTGACAATGAGAGAGATCAGGGAAGGCTTCTAGAGGAGGTGATGTTTGGGCTGGGCTAGAAAGAGGATGATTAGACACTCAACAGGTAAAGGGAAAAAGTTAGAGAGCAAAGATCTAGATATAGGAAAGAGACAGCTGGTGGTGCAATGGATAGAGTGCTAGACCTGAAGTCAAGAAGATTTGAGTTCAAATCCAGCCTTAGACATGTATTAGCTGTGTGACCCTGGGCTTAACTTAACCTCTGTTTGCCTCAACTGTAAAATGGGGATAATAATAGGACCTACCTCCTACGGTTGTTGTGAGGATGAAAATGAGAAATTTGTAAAGTACTTACACAATGACTGGCACTATATAAATGCTTCTTCCTCTCCTCCCCACATTGAGCTCTGAATTTAGAGCCGGAGGACTTGGGTTTGAATCCCTGTCATTTACTATGTGACTTTGAGCAAGTCACAACCTCTTCTGGGTTTTTTTCCTCCTCTGTAAAAGGAGGGCATTGGTTGGACTAGGTGGTCTTTTCTGAATCTGGAACTATAATTCTTTAGTTTACTTTATCCTTTCCCCTTTCTGGATTTCAGTTTCTTCATTTTTGCAAAATGAAGGGATTAGCTTATGTAGTTGATCCTTTGAAGGTAGTCTTTTTTTGAGAATTAAAAAGAGTTTATTAAAGTATGTCAAGGTAGCAACACTTTGATGGGAGATTAGCAGCACTGGAGATCAGCCATTCAAAGGTACTCTACCAATCCCCACTCACACTGCTAAATTAAATCGTAAGGATTCTGGTTACTACTTCCCCTTAGGGATCTACGGTTAGCCTTGAGGGGTTGGGATTTGCTTTTTTTTCTAATGTTATATCTCATTAGCCCCTGCCGGTATGCTTTTTCTAATGATAATCAAGTAGCCAGTCTTAATTAGCTTTTAGAAGAGTGTTTACTAAATTGGTATCTTAAGAACAGTTAATAAAAATAATTTCCCCCAAAAGTATGTGTCACACTGCCTTATCCACACACACACACACACACACACACATACACACTCATATGTATATATGTATATGTATGTATGTAGAGAGAGAGAGGGAGGGGAAAGAGAGAGTTCAAGGGAAAGTTGGCTCAAACCTAGAGGTTTTGGCAAAAGAAACTCACAGGTCCTGGAATTCCTTTTGCTAGGGTCCTCAAGGTGTTCCCCTTAAGTACAATATATCTTTTTTTTTTTTTCCTGCTGAGCTAGTTGTAGAGCCTAGAGTTTTTATCCAGTCTATGGTTGGCTCTTGATGCAGACACTGACCCCAGCTTCACTGACCCATTGTCCTGGGGATGCTGCTACAATGCTGACAGGAAGGTGGAGAATCCAAAATCCTCTGGACTCTTCAGAGCTTTCAGATTCTTACCTAATTCCAATTCCAACTTCCTGATTTTGCAAAGGGCCAAGAAGTGCGACCAAAAACCTCAGCCTATTTGAACAGGTTCTCAGGCCTCCTTCCCATATAGTGAACAATGGATAATGGATTTCACTGGTAAATGCATTAGGGCCAAGTAGGGTGATCCAGGTGATTTCATAACCACCCCTTACACTAGATGATCTCTAAGGTCCATTTCTGCTCTAAATTCCATTATCCTTTTGGGATAAGTACACACATACGCACAAGTTACATTGAGAAAAAGAGAGGTCCAACAGAAGGATAGGACTGGAGAGTGAATGCTGTCCTCTGAGGAAATCAGGAAACATCTTATGGAGGTGGTGATGGTTGAGTCGGACATTTGAAGCTAGGGGTTGTGGGGGCTGAGTACCTCATATTACTCTCCTTCACCTACTCCTTGTTTCAGCCAAACTGGCTATCTCTGTGTGTTCCACACAGTGTCTTCTTTGCTTTATAATGGGCTCTTCTCCATCCCTTATCTTTGCCTCTTGAATTCTGTAACTGTTTGTCAAGGCTCAGCCCCAATTCCACCTCTTCATTGAGGCTTTCATGGATCTTCAAACACTTGTATGTTATAAAAGTGATTGCTGTAATTTTTCAAGGATCTGTGATTTTATCATTGTGGGTAGTATCTCCAATAATACAGATTTCATCTGCAACTTTAGATGGATAGCCTTTGAGAACTCCAGTTACTGAAAATACATCCCTTTGCAAGTCAAGCTCAGTGATGAGTTTCTCCAAACTTAGCTGGTCTGATCCTCAGTCTACAGACATGTATTTCACCCCTAGGCCAGACAAGAAGCCTTTCTAGCTTTGGTGGTCATCTGACAGGCAACTGTTAGACTCTGTCTGTTCCCTAGCTCATAGTACCCAGATATCGGGTGGTGATGGGGAGAGGAAACAAAAGACTCCTGGTCCTGGCCACCCATGGGCTAAAGAGGCGGCAAGGGGGCAGTGATTGCTTTTAATGTAGTCTATGCTGTTTGTCACTTGATACTTTTGTGGTAAATAATGCTTTCTATTTTAAGTAAGTTGTGCTTACTATGATAGGAGGCCACATGATAAATCTTGACTGGATCAAATTGGATATATTCAGTGAGTGGGTACATATAATAGGGCCAGCTAAACTGTGATTGCTGTTGTGCATTCTGTAACACCTAGTTTGTAGTTAACATACTCCTTTTCACAACATAGATAAGGATATGTTTGTGGGTTTTTGTAACTGGCATCTTCATCTTTCTTCGGTGAATGTGAATGCATTGATATGGCTTGTTAGAGAATGTCTATTTCCATGCACACATTTATATGCATCTTTATTGATAAGCTGAGGCCTTTTCTTTCTAAAACTAGGAAACTGAAGGTTTTTTCCCCTTATCTCTCAGGATCTAGGCTAGCATCAACATGTACAATCTCAAGAGGAAGATGTAACTCCTTTAAGTGGAGGCGATATTGTCTTTTCATCAAAAATACATGTTTTGGGATCCTGGAAAGAAGATGGAGTCAGATGTTTCCTAGGGATAGCTCTCACCTTCTCTCTCTCTCTCTCTCTCTCTCTCTCTCTCTCTCTCTCTCTCTCTCTCTCTCTCTCTCATATAAAAATCTTCCAGCAATGGAGGATAGGACAATCAAAAGGACAGCAAAGGGTAGAATTGGAACTCACAATGTGAGACACAGAGTAATTATTTTTACCATGGAACATTGTTTCTATCCACATAAAGTCCAAAGTTAAGAAATAGGATGGAAAAATGAGAAAACAACAACAATAGCAGCAAAGAACTTGACCATAAAAAGCTACTATGGTGACTGGGAAGCTCAAGATACAAACTCAGAAGAAGACAACAATGTAAAAACATCTATAAGCTAAGCCTCAAAGAAAAATGCGGATTGGACACAAGCACAACAAGAATTAATAGAATTGCTAAAGAAAGAGCTAAAAAAGAGCAAAAAAAAATTTAAAAATCAAGAGCAGTAGAGGAAATATTGGGAAAAGAAATGAGAGCAAT